GGAACTGCCCTTAGGCTTTCATTACAACTGAGATTCGGGTAAATGGTTTTTGTTTCTTTTTTCAGTACAAGCCATAAATCTTGCCTGCAGTAATCACACATACATTACAGATGTGGTGGATAGAAATTAGGCTGAAAAATGCTGAAGCATTCCTGAAAGTAGGGACAGTGCTTGGCTATTTGAGCATACAAATAACACCAGAGCATTCTCTCAGTTTCTGTTTCCAGTCTTCTGTCTTTCCTTGGGCCGGCATGATTTGGCTTGCAGCAAGATTAAAAGTAGTGTCTTTTATTAGCCAGTTTGTTTGGGTTGGGGTTTCCAGCTGAGTCTGATCTGAGACTTCAAACCAGCAAAAGACATTCAGTATGTGCTTCTCTCTCTCTCTCTCTCTCTCTCTCTCTCTCTCTGTCTCTCTCTCTCTCTCTCTGTCTGTCTCCCTTTTTCTCAAAGCCTGGACATGTGATGCTTTGGCCCGTACTCGCTTCCTCTGGCTCCTTGGGCACTGCCAACCCTGGTTCATGGTTGCGATGACCCAGATGCCTGGCGGTTAGCTGCTGTCTCACAGAGCGCTAATCTGATTCTGGAACCTCTGTGGCACTCGGGTTTCAGTTCTGTTAACTGTTTTTTGTTATTCATTAGTTGTTTTAGGACACCACCAAGACAGACTTAGTGCACAGGCAAGCACACACACACACACACACACACACACATACGCAGGGAAGTAGTTGGTGCCAGTCAGCGTGACATCTGTTCATCATGTCTACCAGTGCAAAATCATTTACAATTCTTTTTGTTGTCCCTGCCAACCTGCTGTCACACTGGACACATTCCACATCATTTACAAACTTCCTGCACAGAAAGATTTAAGGTTTTCTTTTTTCAGTTGCTAACAAGCATATTTTTTTTTATGTGCAAAGCTCACTTTTTCAAAAATCGTCATAAAGCTAGTACAACGGTGCTCGATGTGTATGAAGCTGTAAACAGATTTTCATTGCTTTACAGCAAGCTTAACTACATGTATAAAAAGAGATTCAGGGAAGCACTTTGGTATGTGTCGTGAAATGGAAAACAATTAATCAAGAGCCACATGGAGAGGAAGATGTAGAGGTAGAGGAAAGGTGCAGGTGAGAGAACGTAGCCAAGGAAGTGGAGTAACACAACATATCACAGAAGACACACGTCCACCAATTATAAAGTATGTCCACATTCATGGCATGACAATGAGAAAAGCCAGACACAGCCATACATCAGCCAGCATTCTATACCGCTTCAATAATTGGGATGTTCGGAGAGGACTCTCTGTCTTTCATTCTCTATGCTCTTGGATATTTCAACATGTGGCTGCTGGAGAAAACAAGAAATATTTGAACTAAACAATTCTTTCTGTTTTTACTTTTTTTTTTTTTTTTTTTTTTACTGTTTGTACTTTCTATGCAACTGTGTTTGAGTTCCTTTTTTTTTTTTTCCAAACTGCTTTGTTAATTTGGATTTTAATTAGCTTTTTTCTTCCATTGTGCAGTTCCTAATCAATTCATAAATATAATAGGCATATTACCAATATTATCACTTGATTGCACTAGTATCAATAATTGATAGTCAGTAATACCTATGCTTTAATACATTTATGTCTTATGTTTGTTTTGAAGACAAACATTCATTATGAGCAGTGTTAGAATTTTATACAAATACAATTGCTAAAAACCATTAAGCACTACCAAGTTTGCCTCTGTACTATTTATACTTCTCTCTGCACTCACCAGCACTGCTTCTCTTCTAACTTTGTCACACGGGGCATAACGGGGGCGGGGGTCACGGGGGGTTCTGAGTTCGTCAGTTCTTATCTAACAGATTTGCCTGTGTTGTTTCTGACACTGTATGACACACTGTTATAAAACAAACTACAAAAATGGACCAACACATGTTTCACAGCTAAAAACAGTAGCAGCCATTTTGAAGCCGGAATCACTTTCTTCTTCAACATATCATTTGGTGTTACTCAGTGGAATCGTCAGACTCGGGTAGGTTTGGCCCAAAGTATGAAGTTGGAATTGTACATTTGAAAGATTTATTTGAAAGATCATATGGCTGATGCTTATTTATTTATTTATTTAATACAGAATTATGCTGCTATTTTATGTAAGTGTTCACGTACAAATAGTATTATTTATCCCAATGATAATATGCTCCTTGTTAACTGGTAATAAGGGACCAAGTAACCAAGTTCGGCATGGGAGAAATTTGTTACCATATTTGTATTTTTCCTTCGCACTCAGTGTTCCCGGGATAGGCTCCGGATCCACTGCGACTAGCAGTTACTGAGGATTACTGAAAATGAATTGAATAAATTATTATTCTTATCTAGCTTTATTTTGTTCCTTAATGTTGTTCATTCCATTTGTGAGCCCAAACTAATTACAAAAGACACATTTGCAGTTATGAACTTATCCTAATGGAGTATAAAGCCATTTCTTTGCCCCTTAAGTCAATTTTATTCTTATTATCTGAATGATGTGTTTTCCGATGTGCAACATTTTTTCTTATTAGGCTGTTTATCTGATCAGCATGATAGTATAGGGAAGATTATGGGAGCTGATGGTGTGTAGAAGCTCCTCATCCTTTCTCAGTGGGTATTCATTAAAATTATACTCATAATTCTTGCTGCACGTCAGTGTTGAAATGCCACGAAAGCATTCTGCATGATGATGATAAGTAATAAAAAAGTAGCTAAAAGGCCATTTGAAATCAGTTATATATCTTCAGGCAATATGGATGAATTCTGTTGAACTAATGGGTCTCAGTACCTTGGACTGTATTAGCAGGTTCAATAAACATGAATCATCCACAGCTGTGGTATCTGCACATAAACTATTCGGTTTCCTGCGCTGGGCATCGTCCTGTAGGGGAAAAAAACGTGAAACATTTTTATCTCTATAATTTCTCCTAGACTGCAAAGAGATCAAACTGAACTAAACGGGAGACTTCTGCTTAAGTCTAAAGTTTTTCTCCTGAGCCAAAAGTCACTAGTAACGTCACATACACTCACCGGCCACTTTAATATGAATACATGTACACCTGCTCATTCATGCAATTATCCAATCAGCCAATCATGTGGCAGAAGTGCAATGCATAAAATTACGCAAACATCAGAATCAGAAAAAAAAATTTATCTCAGTGACTTTAACCTTGACTTTGATTGGGTGATTAGATAATTGCACGAATGAGCAAGTGTACAGCCATTCCTTTTAGAGTGGCTGGTGAGTGTACTTCCTGAGTTTCAGTAGAGATCTCAACAAAGTCACTCTACGTGCTCAGATCTGCCAAGAAGTTCATTCAAGTGTACTAAAGTTCAAAGAAGCCTACTGCTAGCACACCAGTAGCACACACATGGAGAGATGTACAGTTTACTTTTCATATAATATCAAACCTAAATAAGTTTGGAAATAGTTACAGTGGTGTAAACATTTGACATGCTATATAAAAGTACAATCTGAGGAATGGGCAGAAAGGGTTTTCATTCCCAGTTTTTTTCTGTTTTCTCTCTCAAGTTGAATACTGACAATGCCTCAGCCACCTGTAGCCGGGAGTCCAAGAGTGCTCCCTGGATGGTGTTACTCTCTCACCTGTCAATCAGAGCAACACTAACCAATTGTGGGCGTCTATAAGCTTGTGTATGTGGAAGAGGGCAGTTAGCAGGGAAAACTACCTCATGTGTGGGAATTGGTAAATAGGAATGACCAAATTGGGAGAAAAAGGGGTAAAAAGTGTTCTTTTAAGGGTTCATTGGATAATAGGATAATTAAGTGTTCTTATCTTCCAAAAAAGAGTTACACTCTGTACACTTTGTTAGACAGGTTCCATAAGATGGACAAGCAAAGAATGCTTGAGGGGTCTAAATTTTTAAGGAGACAAGACAATGACAGGCATGGCATTTATCTCTCAGTTTTGTCTCTTTTAGCTGCACAAAAATCTGAGTCATATCTGCTTTTAGTCTCATTCTATTTCTATTTATAAGGAATTTTAGGAAAAACATTTTTGACAAAGTTGAAACAAGGAAGTAAATGAAACACTGGATACCCAATGCCCAAAGGATTTACTGAAAGTAAATACAGCTAAGAGTAAGAGTATCTACAAAGAACAAAGACATTACAGCAAGATACGAAATAATAAATCAGAGCATGCAAAGAAATGGAATAAAAACAGGAAATACGTAATAACTTGTAATGAGACACAAATGGAATAGATATTGCAGGAAAGGGGGAAAAAAGGGAGAGGAAAATCAAAATAACAACAACGCATGTGTTCAGAACTCGGAGGAAGAGAGTGTTGTGTGTGTGTGGCATGGAGGATATACATGTTACGTAAGGGCGGTTTGCAAATGTTCAACAATGCTACACATGAAACCATTAAGAGTACACAATATGATCATTGCATACCACTGTGTGCTTCACTGGCTGCTAAGTCAAGCACTACCTCTAAAACGCTCTAACACATTTCATAAAATTATACACACATTTTGCAAATAGTCATATATTGTGAAACAAATGAAACACTGCCTCCAAATCCATTCACACTCTCCTCCACACACACACACACGACTTTCTACAACAAACCACACTTTTCACACTACACTGATTAAATGAAAACACAGCTGCATTACCATACTGTAAAGGAAAACCTGTAGACTTCGGATAAAAAAAACTAACAAAAATACAACAAAAAAAAAACCCTTGACTCACAACAAAACCCTAGGAAAAGACTCTCTACTCTTCCTTTTCCCTTATTATTGTAATTTTTGTCTGTGTAAAATAGGAATGATACACTGTTGTTCTTTCAGTTGCTCCCGTTAGGGGTCACCACAGCAGATCTTTGGTCTGCATATTTGATTTGGCACATTTTTTACACCAGATGCCCTTCCTGATGCAACCCTCCCCAATTTTATCTGGGCTTGGGACTGGCACAGGGAGTGAACTGTTAGGTGCAACCCCAGTGACTGGGGCTGGTTCCCTAGCCGGGAATTGAACCCAAGCCGTGGCGGGAGAGTGCCGAGGCCTAACCACTAGTCCTCCAGGGACCCAAACTGATACGTTGATATAAAATCCTAAAAATAGTCTCTACAAACACACATATAAGCAGAACGCTGTGTGTGTGTACATGTGTGTGTGTGAGAATTACTCTTGAATGCTGTGTCAGTATTGTACAGTTGCGTAGCTTGCTTTGCACTCTTGAGCATTTGTGACGTTATCACAGAATTGTAATACTGGCTGTCACTATTTAACTTACATTAAACAGCAGCGCAGTAGAGTGTCTCTGTCCCCATTCATTTCAATGTCAACCACCCCAACGCCGCATTTTTACATCACACCTACACACTTTACACAATGCAGTGTTAGATTTGACTTCTCTGTGCAATATGTGTGTGTGTGTGTGTAGGACTGGTGTCCTCAGGCTTGTAAAAGGTAATATCATGTAGCAGCACAATGTGACAGTAGCACAGAGTGAAATATGTGGGTCATCCAGATTGATGTCAGTGTAATCGGTAAAAATGACCTGCACTGTCCGAACACTCAGTCAGACAAACACACACACACCCTATTTAGTTGTAGACAAACGCCACTATTGTTTGTAGCAAAGTGTTAATACAGATGTACTGTTCCCCAACCACTACATACAAAATAGCCCAAACCAAGTATTCATGTTCACAAAACAGTTACATAATCAGTTAACATTTTATATATTAACTATAGTTATCAAAAAATACAGTGAATTTTTTATCATTTTACACAAATAACAATAAAGTATGTGTATTGTTTTTTTTTTAAAGCACAACAAAGATCTGTATAACGTTCACATGTCATTTCAACTTGCAATCTTTTCACATTCACATAACCCAGGGGTTCCCAAAGTAGGGGTTGTGAAAGAAACTCACAATCTCTTCTTTTGTTTCATTCATTTATTTTACAAATTAATTTTTTTTTTTTTTTTTTTACAAATAATTAATATTTAGAAATTTAGAATGTGAGAATAAATGGATTCCGTGTGCTAATATTTTTAAATGTTACTGGGAGTCACATTCAGACAAACCATGTTTAAATTAATATGTGCTGTCTCTTTCAATATCCTGACAAGCTGTATGATCGTAGCAATAAAAATGCAATTAAAAATGGGACAAATTTGGTTGTTCATCCACCTCCACTAAACAAACTATTTTACTCTCAAATTGCCTACTATTCTAGACCATTATTGAGTAATAACACTAACCGGTTTTCCTGTCACGATGTTTGAATTTTAAAAACCTCACACGTCGTCTCCCATCCTTCCGAAAGGTCTGTTTTTGTGCACCAGTCTTCTGCATTTTCTAGATTAGTAAACACTTTTGAAGGCAAGGTCAGAGGTTTCAATTCGAGATGCAGCCCATGACAACAATCATGATGACAGTGTAAATTTTTAAGAGAGGCAAAGCTTGTAACTGTGTTTAATGTCGCCGTGTATGAAATCGCTAAACGTTTTACAGTTTTATGTATATGAAAAGAATCACCTTTGAATGCCCTGGAGCCTGAACAAACAATAAGGAAGAAGTGTCTGGAGAGAGGGTGGTGAGGAAAAGGAGTGTGGGAATAAAAGGATGTAGTATAGTTGGGAGAGGTAGGGGATGAGGAGAGAGGTAAATGACAGGAGGCAGAGGATGAGGGTGGAGATAAAGAGCCTCACGTTAATGAATAAATTGATGAATGAGCTCAAAACTAAGCTAAACTTTTATCGAGAAATGTTCATTGTTTCTGTTCACAACCTCCCATAATGAAGTCTTATCTTTTTAGCCTGGGAGTGACTTTGTGTTTGGACCACCGCTGAAATATTTTATGACAGTTCCAAATGCTTATTCATGGGCGGTTACCATAACACACATACAGTATAGCTGATTATGGGTGTTTAAAATAACATTGTTTGTGTAGTACCCTTAGTGTGTTTAATCACAATTTATTGGCTACCAGCTTTGGTGGTGAGAAACAGGATTAACCAATGGGAATAATACATTTTCCCCTTTTCTGTCTGAAAGCTACAAGCCAGCTAGCTACACTCTGAGCTATGGGATATTGAGGTAACAGCCAATGAAGTACTGAAGCTCCAGTTGAGCTTGGACCTTTTTTTTTTTCAGTGGAAGTGTCATAACAATATTTTACGGTAACGTGGCAATATTGGCTGATGCTAGACTGTGCGTTAAAATATTAAATTAAGACATTTATGCCATTACAGTATGGCATCCACGCAAATGCATGAGTGTGTTGCACTTATCAACATAAATATACAGAACATGCAATGACTTTATTTAGTACATTTCCTCATCCCCCTGAAATTAAGCTAATTCCTGCCTACATCACTACTCCAAAGCCACGAGTACAACATACATGTAAAAACAAGTGTCTAAGCCAGAACATCTGTAATGCTACTGCAAGAAGGAATTAACAGGCCACATGATTGACAGGCAAGTAGAGGTGCCTCTTTGTGTTTACTGATTAGATGTTGATGGTCCACATAATTAATTTTCCGAGATTGTTTACTGAGAGAAGTAACATAAATTTTATTCAGTTTGGTGTGTTTGTATGTTTTTGGTTATTTTGGAGGATTGTGATATGGACAGTCACCGTTTTATCTAAGCTAAAATTTCCTAGAAAAAGAATGCAGATGTAAAACACCATTAAATTAAGGCAGAGCCTATTTGCACCCGGGTAAAAGTGAAAGTATATCCTATTTGCACCCAATTTAATTATTATCCATCTGAGGGCTAACACTTGCTTGTGAACTTGGCTACTGGATGGGTAATATTAGCTTACTTGTCTGTAAACTACAAACTTGTCACTTGTCACTACAAACTTAGATGTCAACTGGGTGCAAATGGAGACTTTGTTAAATTAACGTCTGGAGTTTAGCCATGAAACTCGTCTTCCAAATTAGCTACAGAGGTTCACTCAGCAGCCAGATGGTAGGACTGAGCAACGCTGGTGAAGCGTGGCAATGGGCCAGTTCATTTTGTCTTTGGTCTACACATACAGTACTTGAGTTTAAGCAATTCCTTCTGGGGTGGATCTTGGCTTGTCATTTGAAAACCTGTGGCACAGCCTCACTGTATGAATCCTAATGAGCCCTTTTCACAAAATTTGGATGTACCTAGACACAGGGTGAAATGATTTCAGCAGATTGTTTACCACAGAAACACTACCATTATTATCACCTTTACTCACAATAGAAAGATTTTTCACCTCATCTTTGTTAGCACTGCTAAGACAAAACACTGACAATGCCCAGAATTGTTGGAGAATACTCAATAACATTAACTGAAGTTGCCACTGATGATGGGTAGCTAGATATGTAATTAATTGATATATATATATGTATATATATATATATATATATATATATATATATATATATATATATATATATGTGTGTGTGTGTGTGTGTGTGTATTATTTCATATTTACCACATTTCAGTTCATTTTCATTAATCCTTTAACAAAATGATGAAGTTGTGGATAGGTGAATCCTTTTGCTAAGGTTAGCTAACTGTATTTCTAGGTAATAGTGAGAAGTGTTTTTGGCAAATGTACTTGACAAATGTAGTTGACAGCAAGGTGGCTAAGTGAAGGAAGAGACACGAAAAAATGATATTTCAAGTTGTTTCTTTGAGTTCCACTGTAGTTCACAGGTTTTCTGTAACACGTCTCATATATTGTGTTTGATTCCATTTGGCTTTCTTTCACTGCATTGTTGTTATTGTATTAGCGGAAATAACCCCACAAAAGGCTACTTCTGGCAGCCAAAACCTGCAGTTGTGAAAGGGCCCATTCATTCCTTGAGATCTAATAAAGCTATATTAACTACATAACAACAACAGGAGTGCCTTCCTTGGTTGATTAAGAGAGAAATAAACCAGCAGTGCTTCCATAAATCTGCCATAATCATATGTGGCATTTACGGCATGGCCGTGAGATAATGTCATGGCTTGTTATACTGTGCTCTGTGCGCAGAGAGAACTCAACCTGTCCGCATTAACTAAGAATTTTCCCTGCTATTGCAGCTAAGGGATTAGAAAAGGCATTTCAGTAATCAGTGGGCTTGTTTCTGTTCACTGAAAGGATATGATTAAATCTCAGGTTGCCAGGCTGGTTGCTCTATATTCTGATTGGCTTCCTTTTCCTTTCACTGTTACTGTGTTCAGCTCTGATCAGCAAGCAAAAAGAGGTGACTGCAGGCTGGAGAGCAAAGAGATTTCAGTTTAACAGGTTATTTCCTGATCATCAAAACCCCATAAGCATCAGGATTCAAGACCTGTTTTTATTTAGAGGTAATATCATACCTGATGAAAACACATTTAAACAAACCTAACATAGAGTTAGATATACTGTATATGTTGTTGGCTTTATGACTGATGCATCCAAAATGTGCTGTTATAATAACCTCCACTCTTCTGGGAATGTGGTTGTGGGGATTTGCCCATTCAGCCACAAGAACTCCAAACTGTCATTTCTATAAATTTTTTTTATTCTCACCTCATGGAAGGTTAGCTGTGCCAAATTTGGCGACATGTACCTGGCATGAAAATAGTGACTGAACAGACAACGCAAGGTAAAGCAAAAAAGTCAGATGCTTCAATTAAAGTGGCGACTGGGTCTCAAGTGGGTCAGCTAAAATCTGTTGGTGGTGATGGAAACGGTTGAAAAAACATGTCAGTGGTAGCTGTTTTATGAATTTAGCACACATCTACATCCAGCAGCAGGACTGCAAAAGGCACACACCCATACATACATGCGCTGTAAATCGGTTTGTGCTTGAGATTAAGCGATTAAGTGTACTCTAAATTTTAGATACAGTTACATTTAGTGTAGTGATGTTTTTGCTGAATGCTGACTGGCTACTAAATTTGGAAAACAAATAGGATATAGCACTGCTAGAACATTTCTAGCATAAAGCCCAAATATACTTATTAAAATGCAAATTTTAGCGCTTATCTTATTTAACTTTGGTGCTAGCGAACCTAATATGAAGCATCTAATTAAAATGAAAGCACTACTGATA